TTTTAAAAAAAAAAAAAAAAAAAAAGAACTTGGGGTTTTAGGGTCTTTTTATTTATTATTTCGCTTTCCCTTTAATTTGGGTCCTCTCTTTCTTCTCCTTCGATCAACCGCTCAGGCTTTGTTCCCCTTTGAACTATCTCGTTCGGTAAGAACTCTTCCCCTTTGTTTTTTTTTTTAAATTATGGAACTTGTTTATTTGCGTTATTTTATCATCAGTTACGGCATTTTTGGATCATGAACTCTAACAAAGTTATCCTTTTAATCCCGACCTCACCAGACTCGATGACTAACTGCACGCCGTTTTGTCGAAATGTAAATTTATTGTTTTTTTTTTTTAAATTTTTGGCAAATTTCACTGGTGGAAGGATGCTGCCCTTGAGAATTTTATGCATTTTTATGGAAAATTTCATCTTTGTTCAACTGTGGTATCGAAGAAGGAAGTTCGGGTTGAGTTTTAACTTTGTGCGATGGCCCCCACTGGTCAGGTATATGATGTTTATTTTTATTTTTTATTTTTTCTAATTTTGGTTGTCGCCTCTTCTTGGATTGTCAATTTCCATCCTTTTCTTTTTCCAAAATTAGTTTTGTGACCCAAAATTATGGAACATTGCCCGTTTACTATGAATAAAACATTGAGTTTGTTTACATGACATAGCTATCTCATTGCCTCACGAAATCACAGCGTAGAAAGCAATGATTCCTGTTGTTTCAATACCTTATTGACCATCAACACACAGAGAAGTGGTATCACTAGTTCCATCCCTGCATCATTAAGTAGTTTTGTAACTTTTGTTCTAAGCTAATTGATTTATTTATTTGACGTTTTATTTCTTATAACAGAAGTTAACCATAACTTGGGCATTAGTGTGGAGGGAACCGTGGAATTTGATGTTCAGAGAATTGACGAAAAGGTTGTTATTCCTGTGTTTGCTAGGAGAAGGAAAGGCTGGGTTCTCTTTGTTGTGTGGCCGCAAGGCCACATGGGTCGAGTTCTGAAAGTAGAGAATGGTCGATGGGGCCAAATGAACCCATTTGGAGATCAAACACAAGTTACTCACCGCCGTCGTCAACAACATGGGATTACCAGTTACAGACTGAAGAGTTGAGATATGAGTTTGATGATGGTGGTGGTATTGTGCTCGATGATTCATCTAGCTCTTCAAGTAGTAAAGGAAGTAGGAGTTGGATACATGGTGAACAAGTGCTTGATCATCGATATTCAGCATCTAATGGTGGCTTTTCCTACTTTAACAGCCCTTCTGATAGTTATCTGTGCCAGCAGTTGATGCCACCACCAGCTCAGGGTGTTATTGTTAATGACTACTTTAGAGGTACACGTTTCTTCAAGTAGTTTGAAACTTTGAGTCTATTTGTAATAGTTGACCCTTAATTTGACTTCAGTATTGGCAAATAATTTTTTTCTCTTAGGAAGTTCATTGAGTCAGCTAAAAAAACATCCTACTTCCATTTTTAGCATATTGTATTTATGGCTGTGCCCTTGATGGGAATACTTGAGAAGGGAATCCTTGAAGATATTCCGTATTTGGGAAAACCTTTATTAATATGATTCCGTTTCACAAATATCTAGACTTGGAGGACAAGTCGTGAATATGATAAGCATGCAAATTGACAGGTGACGAGAAGATACTGGCATTGAAATGGTGGCACATAAAATCCTTAAATTAGGATATTCAGGCACGACGATCAAAAATTCCCTGCATCCATGAAATACAAACATTAGCACACACGATGTTTGCATGTTTTCTAAAATTTTAGTGGACTGGAAGCAAACTAGAACTTAATTACTAAATGCTTTGTCTAAACCTTGATATGGAAACATTTAGATATAAAATTCAGGACGAAGCAAAGGGAAAAACCATGAAACCCAGTCCAACATCCAACCTGACACAAATCCATGTTTCCATGATGATCCTCACCTTCGGAAGGTTTATGTTGTGGTACAGTGATATCCTCCTATAATGAAGAGTCCTTTTCTACATTTCCCTCCTTTTAATCCCCCTCTCGCCCCCACCTAAAAAGTCTTTCTCATACACACGACTCATTTTCCTTAGAGCAGGGAAAGCATGTTAAACATATGTTAGGTGCTTTCCAAGAAGGAATGTTACACATATGTTAGGTGCTTTCCAAGAAGCAATGTTACACATATGTTAGGTGTTTTCCAATGTCTGACCCATGTAGCTTGCTCAATTTGATACGTGTGAGTGCATTTTATGTTATGAATCTTGAAAAAATAATTCTTCTAATACATCTCCGCAACCATATTTGAATGCACTATTTAAAAGTTTTCTTTTCTTTTGGTTCCTTTGTTTTTCTGAAAATTTGTTCCATAAATTTTTCCCCTTTTAACCAAACACATGATACACACACCTCTCAAAATATAAAACAAATAAATAAAATATTGATAACCTATACTATTATATCAATCATTCTGCACATTTAAGTTGGTAGCCTTTACATTCGAACATGTAATAATGTTTCTTGCACCTGTATTTCATAGCGGATTTTGCATTTTTTTTTGTTATGTACGTATAACTATTCCTCTATCTTCTAAAAACTATTATATCAATCCTTCTCCATATTTAACTTGGTAGCCTTTTCCACTTGAGCATTTTATCATATTCCTTTCATTTATATTTCATAGCAGATCGTATTTTTTTTATTAAACTTTTTTCCTTCGTACTCTTAGATCTACCTATCCAGTTGCACATTTCTTCTTTCATCTTCTAGAGATATCGTTCCTATTTCCTTTGGGATGAGTGGCTCCCAAATAATTTTTACTTCTCATCTATTATCTTAACAAGATCATCCCTTCTTTCAATTTTTCTCACATACCATTCATCCTTATCAAATTGAATTGTAGGGATTTTGTACCTTGGTTTCGAAACTACTATGCTGATCTATCTTCTGATAAGATGGCATTATTAAAATATTCTGCTATGCCCCAATCACATATACCGAAGGAAGTTGTTTCAAGCATAAGAAAATCACTTCATTTTGAGGTTAGTTTCTTGAGTTAATTCACCACTATTTGAAGCCAAAAGATTAAACTAGTGTGATGTTATCATCTCTCTATAAAAGCAACGATCGTGGAATTTGTTATTGTTTAACTGTCTTCCGAGAGACCAAATGTTTTGAAGTTTGGCCTGTACTTAAATTTGATGTGTGAAATGAAAGCTTTATTGGTGGAATGTTTTTGTCCAGTAAAGAGTGATGGACAAGCTTTCTTTCCCATACAAGAAGATATTGATGAAGCTCTTTCAAAAAACTTCAAATCTCATACTAATATCATAGTTGCAATTAAGCAGTCGACGACTCCTTAGATTTATGATGTTTTGAGCAGTTGAGTGAGGTGAGCGTCTTTGTTGTCTTTTGGGTGAGTGACACCTATCTCCTTTGGGTTGAGAAAGATGCAGTCCTGAAACCATCCATCCGCTGTAGATGTAATTCATCTGTACTGTCTTAAGGAAACCAACCTTCTTTTTTAATCTCAAGTGTTACCCGATCTTATGCAGTATGGCATTTATAGAAGTTGCTGGCTCATTGGTTGTTTGTAAACGATGCTATATATGATTCTCTAGATCCAAAAGAATGTGATAAACATGTCTAGAAATTTAGCTTTAAGGACAATTAGATATATATATTAATTTTAAATATTGAAGAAGCAAAATTTAATTTCATAAATGATGGAAAAACTATTATCAGATATGATTAATAAAGATGTATTTTGGAAGAGGTTGAACCTGTATGTTCTTAACTTCAACACTATAGCCCATTTGAAGGGTGGGTTAGTATCGTATTCTTGTCAATTAGTGTATTGATGTTTTGATAGTGTTGAATCAGGTTATATTTGATCAGTGTATTCCCTGTAATTGGCAAACCTCGACTTTTCCTACATGTTATATCTGCTGGAAATATCCTGTTTTATTTCATTTAATGCCTAAAAGTAATTCTGTTTTTTTTTCTCTTCCAGAATCTTCATCCACGCCACAGACCTTCACGCGAGAGGTATTTCCTGCACACACCATATAAAATGAATATTTTACTGCAACATCTTATTCCTTTATATCACTGGCATTTCTTTTCATAGGGAACCTCAAGAGTTCCAGAAAGCGACTCTTTCTCCTCTCAATCAGATGACAGCGAGTACGAACCTGCATCGAAGACTCACGCTTCCTCTCACCGCAGCTTTTCAAGTTGCTGCTCATTCATGTCAAAGCCTATACACCCTTTCTCATCCTCTGAGTACAATGTCGAAGGTGAAGAATCTTTCAGTGATATCTCCATACCATCTGAAGCTGAATCCTTTTTCCAACCGAAGAATGTTCTTGGAGGCTCAAGATGCAATCTTTGTGAAAGATTTTTGTCTCAGAGATCGCCATGGGGAGCTCGTCGAATAATTTTGAGCGGAGATTTGCCGATATCTAGTGTTCTATCATGCTGGCATGTGTATCATGCCGAGTGTTTGGAGAGGATCACTCCCAAGCCACAAAAACTCGACCCACCTTGTCCAGTTTGTGAGAAATTTGAGAATGGTCATCGTGTGGAGCAATGGGCTATATGTCGATTGAAGAATGGGTTACCGAGGCTGAGATCGCTTGGAGATGAGGGGACATCGAGGGTTTGGAGTTGTGGAAAGGCGGGAGATTGTGTTGAAAGGGCTGTTGATGTACCGAAAATGAGTAGTGGCATGTTGTTAAGGGATCGGGGGCGGAGCAAGAGGCAGCTTTCTTTTAAGAAGAATCTAGGGAAGGAGAGGGCTGAGAACTCCAAAAGAAGTGGGTTGTGTTCTAGTTTGGCGCCGGGTCCAGCATTGAAGAGATGGTGAGCTCTTGCAGTAAGGTAAGAACTGATAATAGGATCTTATGTAGTTTATAGCTATTCTCACATAAGGAAATCCCATATGGTGGTGGGTTTGTGTTTGGGGTTGGTGGTGGTTAACTATTCCTGTTTATAGGCGGTTCAGGTCCGAGGGAGATGTGATGCTTTCAAGTAGAGGATGCATTGGCCTGTAACTATTTACTTTATAGACCACAATGCTGTACCTGCAAGCTAGTTTTTTGAAATACATTCTACACTGGAAAAAGGTTAGAAATTACCTAGAATTTGCATCTTTTCTATTTAATGGTCTCTCCCTGTGATTCATTGGGTCTACTATTCTATGTTGCATGGACAGGAGCATAGCATACTCGTGACACGGCATGATGAACCGACACGTGACAAATTCTGAAAAATACACGAAATATAAAATATATGATAAGAAGTATAGTATCGTATCTATAGGGTTGATTGCTTATAGAGCCCGTGCGGTATCACTGCCTTGGATTGCAGCTCCAATATGGCAGCCCTGCGGTGGATGTTTTTTACTTTTTTCGCCCTGGGTGAAATTTTGGTAGATATTACCCTTAGTTGAAATTACTGAGTCTGTGAGGTCAAGTGTTAAAATTTTTAGCCCAAGGGGCCTATCTACTAAAATCAAACTACAAGGGGGTAAATTCAAAGCGATAATATTACAGGGGTTGTTCTCTGACATCTATGTGCAGTTGACGCTCTCTGATATGGTGTTCAACGCTTCACTACTTCATAATAAAGTTGTGTAATTCCAGGCTTCTTGTTTGTTGTTATTGTGTATTTCATTTTCTTCTGTTTTTTGTGGTCTACATTTGATTTGGTTAATCCTGACTAAAATGTAGAATGTAAAGAATCTTAACCATTTCATGATTCTTGTACACCGTGTACATACATGCAAGGCTTATCCCGACCAAAAATTTATCAGCCAAAATTTGGTGTACATACTTAAACATATTTCGTAGTATATTAATTAAAAAGATGAGAAAGAATCAAAGCAGAGGTTCTTTATTTAGGCGAAGGCACATTTACTGCCGTCCTGAAAATTATTGTGTTGGTGTCAACATTCTATTCTTCATGTTGAGAGGTTGTGATGCGGTCTTATTGAACTGGTCCATGTAGGCTAGAAGCGACCTCTAGGACTACCGCATCAGGTTGAAAATATCAGGCGAGAAACCGCGATGTATTCTTAAGTTATCAATTTCTTTCTTCTACCAATGTCTACTCCTTGTAATTTATTGCTACCATTTCCAGTACAATGAAGATGATCACAAACTATTTCATACGAAAGTGCGTAATGATTCGGTTTACACCCGTTCCTTCGTCACGCTCTGCAATGAATTTTGATTTGAAATTTGACGCATGTTCTTCAATCCTAGTGGTTATTGATCAATGTATCTTATAAAATTAGTGGTCCCAAAATCCATATTAGCGTAGCTTTGACATTCCCATGATGTCTCTTACTAAAGATGTCTACAGGAATTCGTTCTTCTATGTAAAGAAGACGCACAAGTCAGCCACAGAAAGAGTCCCCTTCCATGTAGTTTTGTCGGGCCTCTTCAAAATCTTGAGGGCCATGTAAAGGCCATATGGCCCATATCCTTATTTACATGACCCCTCAACTGTGGGAGATTCAATTTTATTATTATTATTTTTTATTTTTAATGAAGGCCGGTCCATTGGAACAAAAGTTGTAAATTATGATATATATCTTGTCTTCACGTGACACATTTTTTTTTTGCCCAAATAGAGCATGACGCATACCAAAAGTGTGGCTAGAGCACGTGTGGAGAGTGCGTTTCTACACAAGTGAGAATGTGTCGCAAAACTTGTGACACGTACATGTGTTATAAAATTTGTGATGCATACATGTGTCACAAACTCACGACACATATATGTTGAGAGTTGTGACACATACATGTGTCAAGAGTAGTGACACATAGCTTTGTCTAGGCTATAAAAATATAAAGAGTATCACTGTAAAACACTATAACTTCCCAAAAAGTCACCAATTATAGAATTACTCTCACCAAATTACACTTACCTATCAAGTTGTTTAGCTTATACACTATCATAAATATTTAATCATCATTATAATTAAAATCTAAGATTTATTATTTAAGCCCATCTGTAGATTCTCATACAATCCATGCTGAACTATTAGCCTTTTTCAATTATATATTTATGTGTCGTGGTTTGCCGCACTTTTTATTTGTGTCACTATTGTTTAATCCTTTGCAAATAAAACGGACACTTTTATTTGTGTCATAAAATAAATATAGACAAATGAAACTTTTGTTATAGTGATAGCCACATAGTTTAGAGAAAAGAGTGTGGTGTAGTAATCTTGCGGAGATTTAGTCATCATTATGCAGTAATGTTGTGGTGTTAGTAATCTTGTATTTATTTCAGCATTAGGTAAACCTCTGTCCCATAATCTAGACTTGTTTATACTGCAGGGGTCCCGAAGGCATAAACTTACACACATGTACAACTTACAGACTGTTGTGTGGTATATTGACTCTATATATCACACAAACTATACTAATTTAAAATCAACCGTGACATTATTTTCAACCGAAGTAATCATAAGGAGAAAACAAAGGTCTTCTTCTTATGGTCTTTGTTAAGATATGATAATGATGTTGTAAGCTTTTTACTGGCTTAACCTGGGTATAAAGTGTAAGCTGAGGAAATCACCACATTAATTAGAGAGGGGCTTTATTCTCCTCCCCCCTCCACGCTTTATTAAAAGAAAAAGGTCAGAATTCAAGCAGTTGGTTAGCGGTTAACTTAAAAAGATAATTCTACGGAGACCCACTAAATCTCTCGAAAATTGAGCACCAAATCAACACTTTATATTCTTAACCTCATTCTTGGTACAAATATTTTATTCTTCTAATCTAAGTTGCGTGCAGGTACACCATTCAGAAAATTCATGTCTATGGAGCTTTTAAATTAAAGGACTACAAAAAAAAAACCCATAGTTAATAGCCCACAATGGCATCTTTAGCTTTAAGCATAAGGCCAATTTGATCCTAGTATAAAAACCAAATCGTGGCATGTTGCATTCTTCAAAAAGAAAGGATTAATGGTCTAAACCCCACAAAGTGAGCCACTAGGAGCCAAGAACATGAGGGAATATGAAATGAAATGAAATGCAATGCATGATAACCTTAAGATTTGTTTTCAAAGCAAATCCTATGGGGTCTCTTGGTTGAGCTCCTTTTTTTAGCTACATTGACCTAATACCACTTCATCTAACAAACAGTCTTTATCTTTCGAAAATACTTTGCGATAAAATACCATCTAAAAACTACTTAAATGTATGATAGTCAAGCAAGAGCACTAATTGAGAAATGCATGTTTTACTAATAGGGGTTAATGCAGAGATTCATTTGGATAGGTTAAGTATCTTGAATAATAAAATGTAGCCATAGTATTCTAGCTATTTTCTGCTCTACAAATGTTAAAGTTCCGCTCTCTTAGGAACTATTTTATCAGATTATGATTCTTGTGTATATCAAGTAACGTTAGGTTTCCTTCTGAGTCAAAGTTATATCGTTGCGTTGACCATATGAGAGATATCGTAATTAATTGCTTAAAATTTTCCATTTAGGGGTTGTTTGGTTGTTGTTGGTAAAGTTGTGTTTTTATGACACAACTTGGGAAGTTGTTGTCCACCTCATCAATTTCACTTTTAGGGGCTGTTTGGTTGTATGTTTTTACCATGTAAAAGGATGTAAAGTGTAAAAAAGTGGGTCTCAATGTCAGCTTTCATCACTTTCATCACTTTTCTTTGTTTGTTTTTGATTCCATTGGAATCATAAAACACTTGTTTGGTTTGCAAAATGAAACTTTAATTGTTTGTTTGGAAAGTGTAAAAAGTGGTCCCTACTCAAATGATCATATTGGTTGGAATTATTTTTTATTATTTTTTCCTAACTTCAATGTTAGCTTTCTCCTAAAATCATGACTTTTTTTCATGAAATCACTTTAGGGGCTGTTTGGTTGTTGTTGGTAAAGTTGTGTATTTATGACACAACTTGGAAAGTTGTTGTCCACCTCATCATTTTCACTTTTACACTTTTCTTTGTTTGTTTTTGATTCCATTGGAATCATAAAACACTTGTTTGGTTTGCAAAATAAAACTTTAATTGTTTGTTTGGAAAGTGTAAAAAGTGGTCCCTACTCAAGTGATCATATTGGTTGAAATTACTTTTTCCTGACTTCAATGTCAGTTTTCTCCTAAAATCATGTCTTTTTTTATGAAATCACTTTACAAACCACATCAGCATATGAAACCACTTTACACTATTTTCACAATTACAAACAAACAATTGAAAGTGATGAAAGCTGACATTGGGACTCACTTTTTTACACTTTCCATCATTTTACACGGTAAAAACATACAACCAAACGGGCCCTTACAAGCCACATCAGCATATGAAATCACTTTACACTATTTTCACAACTACAAACAAACAATTGAAAGTGATGAAAGCTGACATTGGGACCCACTTTTTTATACTTTACATCCTTTTACATGGTAAAAACTTGGGACCCACTTTTTTATACTTTACATCCTTTTACATGGTAAAAACATACAACCAAACAGCCCCTTAGAAGCGGAGAATGTGACCTTGCTCATAACTTAAGAGACGCAAAGCATGAACATGAAAATTCTAGTGCTAGCATCATGATGACGTCACGTATATTTGTTTTAGAATAATAGACTTGAGTGCCAATATCAAGTGGTAAATTAGTCAGGCTATTGTGAAAAAAGGTTGAAAAAGAAAGGAGTGTATCTCAAGTTGGTTATTGACGGTTAAAGTTCGTTAAGAATTTATAAAAGCACTCTGGATCACTTTACTTTTAGCTTTTCAAAAGCTATTAAAGAATTGTTATAAATTTGAGTATTTTTGATGCTAAAGAGACCCAACTATAGGCCTTAAAGATGTCAAAATTCTCTGAAGCAGACATACAATTGGAGCACAAATTAAGTATTTTAATTTGTTGTCTCAAACCCTTATATGTTGAAGTTATACTAGGATTTGAGAATGGTCAAATTTGCTGAAGAATTCTTTAGATTTCTTTTGATGATTTAAATGGCAGTTACTGTTTGGATTACTTAATCAGAGCTGACAGTAAGCATGATCAGAGGTTTGCGTACGAATGAGATTGTTAGAGAAACTGAACAACATATATTTCAAGAAATTATCATAAACTTACCCTTTTTTTTCCAGAAAACCCCCATGACTAAATATCATAAACTTACCTGTAACAAAGTTTATGATATTTTTATGAAAAAGGATGAAGAGCCGTGGTAGTTTCTTGCAGGTTAACCCTTAAAAGTGACAGCTCTCATTTCAACTCTTTGACAAAGTGAATTACACACACATTTACCCAACGGAGGGATTGCTCTTTTATCCCAGTAAAACTTGGGTAAAAAAAGCAACTGAAATCTTGCAGCAAAGCAGTTAGTAAGGGGCTACTTGTAGAAGGAGAGGGGGTAATGAAAAGCAAAGATACTGAAAACTTCCTTTCTGTAGGCTTAGTAGAGCCACCAGCTCTCTATTCTCTCCGAGTGTAAGGCTGTTCACAACTTATGCACCCATGTGCTGAGGCCTGAGGGCTCAGAGATCGCATTTATTCTTAGGGTTTGAGGTGAAAATTTTTTCGAGCTATATTATTCCAGTGATCAGTATATTTATGTCTTTTCGACCCCTAAGTTTACAGCTTCATTGTTGTATCTTTTTTAACTATTGCATTTATACATAACTACTAGAATATAAGAGCTTGTTTGGCAACTCACCCGCTAATTTGACATAATACAAGGGATTTTAAAATGATATTAGAGTTCGTCATGATAAACTAGTCTTAACGTGAGAGCAACGGAAGTCGATTAGAATCGGTGATAATTTGTAGGCTCTTTCTGATTGTGGTTCTTTGATTTCTCTCTTTCCAGATCGACTCTAATATCCCGCAATCATTGTCATAATTTTTTGTTTTTACCATGCATTTATGGACTCCTTTAGTCCATAATATCATCTACGCATTAAAAGCATACTTAGAAAAACTATGTTGTGTGAAATAGCATATAATTCGATCGGAAAAAGGGCAATTAGCATGCAGGGTTACATCAGAGTGTAAAAGTACCAACTGTCGACCTTTATCATAATTACTAGGAAAAATTTTCAAAACCAACCCATTTAGAAACTTAATTGCAAAAATCGACCCATTTCGAATTTAATTGCCAAAATCAACCCAGTTTCAGCCATCACGGGACTTCACAGATTCAGCCATCACGGGACCTGAAGTCCCGTGAAGTTTAACAACGCGTTTAAATTTAGTAAATTATTTCGCCAAAATAGACCCAGTTTCAGCCAGCTGGCTGAAACTGGGTCGATTTTGATAATTAAGTTGCAAATAGGTAGTTTTTTGTAATTAAGTTGCTAAATAGGTTGGTTTTGAAAATTTGTCCTAATTACTAAGTTATGATGCCGTAAATGAGACTTGAAGAACTACCAAACATAATAACATACAATTTAATCTCCATCAAATTAAATCGCAACTGTATGTTACTCCTATTAAAAACTACAGTTGGGTTGTTACAGATGCTTGTTACTATTAACTGAAGAGACCAACATACAACTCGCGTGTGGCCGTTACGCTTTTGCTCTTTGAATCCCAAATCTTCCAGAGAGTCCTTAATGTAAATAGCTGTCCTCTTTGTCTTTGGGGATGATACCCTTCACTCTTCAACAAACTCCCTTGGCTCCACTTTCAATAAACCCTCTATTTAAACCCCCCCTCCACTCTCCTCTCACTCACCCCAAGCAAGCAAAGAGAACATTCTCCTCCTCTTTGCTAATGGCTTTTCTTGGGCTTTTCTTTGTGGGTTCTCTCTCATTGCTCTCCTCTGCTCTTGGCAATGGAGAAGGATGGGCTAATGCTCATGCCACCTTCTATGGAGGTGGTGATGCATCTGGCACAATGGGTACATCTCTGCTAAAATTCTGCTTTAGCATAAAATTGCTGATAACCCCCTCGTCCATTCCTTCAGTAGCACTTATCATCCCGAGATTGGTTTCGAAAGTGCTAATAGAACAGTTGAGGGGTTATGTGTGCTGTTAAGGGTATGGACGAGGGGGTTATCTGCGATTTACCCTTTTTTGTAATTATCTTTTGATGATACTCGTTTCCTAAGCAGCTTTTTTTTTTGTGTGTGTGTGTAGGTGGGGCTTGTGGGTATGGGAATTTGTACAGCCAAGGATATGGGACTAATACTGCAGCTCTGAGCACTGCTCTGTTCAACAATGGTTTAAGCTGTGGGTCCTGTTATGAGATTAGGTGTGTTGATGATCCTAGGTGGTGCCTTCAAGGCTCCATTGTGATCACTGCCACCAATTTCTGCCCACCAAACAATGCTCTCCCTAATAATGCAGGGGGGTGGTGCAATCCTCCACAAGAGCATTTTGATCTCTCTCAGCCTGTCTTTGAGCAGATTGCCAAGTACAGTGCTGGAATTGTCCCTGTTTCTTACAGAAGGTGACTTTTTTTTTGGGTAACTTTCTGATAAATTACCATGGAATTTGATTCTTCACTTGGC